AATCAAGCTGTCTTTTAGTTTATTAGAATTCTTGTGTAAATAGCCTAGCGGAACCGAGTGGAACGTTATGTCAATTTGCAAAATCGTTGGAACGTACCCGTGGATCTTCGATAAGCATTCACAATTGCTTACTCGAACTCACTCAATAAATCAATCAAAAGTATTTTTTTTCACTTTAACTACGCCATCTACTATCCAATAATTACCGTCCTTTGCTCCGTAATTAATGCACAATTATAATTTAAATATCGTCGACACCAGTGTTGTATTCTAATTAGAAAGGTTAAAGCAACAGACTTGTGAACCGACAAAACGATTGCGATATACTGTTACGTTGTGGACAGCGTGCGACCAAGTTGGTTTATTGTTGTTAACTAGCCAACCCAGCTCGCTTCGTCAGTTGGTTTTCTTTTTTGCTGAGGACAAAAATGACATATCGATACAGACATGCATGTGTATATTTATCAAATCGATTGTTGTTTAGTCTGTGTATCACAGGTGAACGACCACTTTTTAGCACTATATGGATTGTAGAGTTATTGTTCTAATTTATTTATTTTTTTTCCCATTTTTAAGCCACGTATTCGAATCATAGCGAGTCGCTGCGCTCGCCTTAGTGCTGGCAAATTTAAAAATTGAAGTCAAAACCATCTGAGTACGCCTTGTATTTTTCTATACAATCTAAAATTTATTATTTTGCTACACACATGCTGTTCGTACCAAATGTATTGGCAAAATTCGTTCCTTTCAAAAAATCATGCCAGACGTGGAGATGTTCAGTACATAGCACAGAAAACACGCAAAAATTTGGTTTTTCAATCATTAGAAAAAAAACAAATTGTCGCTCTACTCGTTCAATCGTTGCATTGCCAATGTAGTAGCGCTATTTAATTAACTTACGGCGCCTGGTCAGTATGCCACTTTTTTTATTTATTATAAACGAGTTGATCATGTGGAAATTTCATTGATCACAACAATATTACGAACGATTGAACATGTAAATGAAAAACAAAACTCTAAATTGTCATCACGTTCGCTTTTTTTGCTGGCTTTTTTATTTTGCTCATGGAATTTCAAAATGCCAGTTCAGATCGGTGTAATTTTTGTCTGTTTTTATCGTAGAGGAACGATACCGTTTTCGTTCGAAATGAATAAATCAACTGAACAGGAGAGACGTTTGATTTAATTTCTAGTTCACTGGATGACAGAATTGAATTGCTTATCGCAATGATGGGACTGATTTACAATAACGATCGACAAACACGAACACAAAACAGATAACACAGACACTAAGCTCCGCCTTATATTGTTCATGAACAAATCAAATTAATCCGTTTTTATTTGCTTGATGTATACGTATAAGCGAATACGTGTAATATATTCATTCAGAAGATTATAATCTTCTATATTTCTGTTTCGTCCCATGCTTGAGTGCGCAATGCTCATAATCTATATACCTAATTTAATTGGTTTGGTCGTTTGGGCGGAATCGTTTCAAACTAACCAGAAGAAGCAAAAATAATGTACGATAAGTACTTCACTGATTCGGATTTAAAAAACATCATATTTTATACTTAACTTCTAAATCATAAATAAATATGAATTATCATTAATAAGTACACGTGTAAGGAGTCAATCGTGTATGAATAACAAAGAGTTTTCCTTCATTTTTTAATTCATTTTTTCCCAAACACTATATTTTTCTATTTTTCATATAAGAGTGATAAATCATGAGTCATTTTTGACCACTTGATTCGTATTATTTGATCACTACTATCCACATTACAACTTTATTTGGTTCAGTGATTTAAAGAAGCATGAAGAACATTTTTTTCTTCAAACGAACAAAACTTACCGTTGCGTTGCAACAAAACGATTTTTGAAGCATTTTTATTTGTCGACGACATTTTATTTAATAATTGAGATTCGTAATGCTGGGTTCCAATTTATTGTACTAAACAAATTAAACATATACACAATAGAATACACTGGATATCTTAATTTAATGGCGTATTTTCACTTTAAACAATAGCTGTGTATATGGTCCACAGTCGAGTAGAATACTGGCTTTCGCAAGAATAACAAAGTCATATTTATATGATGATGTATGATTAACGCAATAAAATAATACGAAAAACATTTTACGCAAGTACACGAGTAATAATTCATCCAAAATTGGAATAAAAACAAAAACAATCCACTGTGCACAATCATTAATACTCATTCTCAGTTCGTTGGCTTATCAGAACCATTATTCTTAACAATTTTTGATTTGTCATGTTTTGAATTGCGAATCCCATTGGAATTTCATTCATTAATTCGTGTGTGACACATCGTAGTATTTTGAAGAAAACGTTTCATTTTGGAGTATTTAATTTCAATGTTTTTTGTAAATGCTTGGTATGAAAGTATATTTTTCTAACACAGTTTCTTATGATTTCACTGATATTGACAGATTCAAATTGGCTAAGCCAATAGCTATAACTCTTGGAGTATTTATCAAACATTAATACATTTTAACAACCGATTAAGTCATATATAAACTTTTAACGTCGGTAATGCTACGGCGCCACAGGAACCTCCGATCAGACTGACATTCAAGACAATACTATCACTTTCTCATAATGCACACAAAGTTTCTTCGCCCGATCCAACGATCGAACGTTTTTAGATGAGTAATACGGCTTTTTTTCTGTCTTTTCAAAGATTCTTGGACGTGTGAGATAGCACAGAGACACAAGTGACTAGAGAATGCTTTGCATGTATGCTATTGGTACTGGTGCTGGTACAGATACTGAATCGGCTTTGCAATCAGCTGTTTTGTGCTGTTCTCTTCGTTCAGACGTTTGTTACTCTTTGAAACGAGTTTTTGATTATTCGATTTAAATATTATTATATGTGCATATGACTTTGATGCGGTCAAAGTGGGGTAGAATATTCTAAGGTTCTTTTTGGTTATTTCGAAATTTGACTATATTGTGAAATTCACAGTACAAATCCTCATAAACACAGTAAATATTGCAAAATTGGGATCGTAATGCAAATTAGTTTTTTTTTCATCACTTCGAACGTCATTTCATTCGAATATCAAATAGATTTCAATTCAACCGAAAAACTACCGGCCAATTTGTGGTTTTCTTAGGTAACATTTTATCCGGCACTTTTTTATACGAAATTGTGATTCATTCACAAGGAGTAGCATTGACTCAGACAATCAACGTGCAGATTCATAATTTGTTTACCCAAAAAATGTAATACTCACTTCTCAAGTAATTTAGAAACCAATTGCGCTGTGCTTAGGGTAATTCCAAGCTCAATGCAACAATCGAATGGAGAAATATGCAGTGAGAAACGACAGAGGGAAAATGAAACATTTCACTGTTGTTTTGATCGCGTACAAGTGCTTAATATAACCTCGGGAATACCACAGTTGATAAATCTGGGAAGATGGGACATGACAGCTAACAAGTGCACGATCTGTTCCAATCAATTGATGTTTGTCAGTATTTGATTGATATGTTCATCAAAAACAAATTCTTATTAAAATGTAGATTTTATTGTGTAAAAGAGACATTATCGTTAGTTATAAATCAATCATTATCAATTCATAATATTCAATGGAGATTGCGGTAGAATAAGAGCTTGATTATTGATTGAAATATGGTCAGTTTATGGGAACGCTATCAAAATAATGAAATAAAAAAAAAGATCGCTTCCGAATCAAGTTTTTGAAACGATCTGGTTTTTGTCTATTGATTTAAGGCGCCGGGAACAAACCACGCTTGCCTCAAAACCATATACAGACACATTTCACATATATGTATCAAAGCGCTTTCTTTTTGACACCGGCAAGTTTTTGACCTGGGCTGGAATTCTAAGTCATTCCACCAAAATCGTTCGGAATTATTTTTTTCGTAAATAAGACCATTATTGGTGAATAATTAATTCAATCGTTAAACGGTTGCTAGACATATAAAACGAGCAAAAATCTTTTATCAATGTCGTAAAATGTTTTATGTCTGTTTGGCATTCATCGTGCCATATAACGCGCATATACACTACCAGCCAAAAGTTTTAACTCATCATTTTTTGTGTGTGTGGATAAAATACTGTTTTTCGCAGTGTTATCAATGTACTATGTACACTCCCAAATTAAATAGCAGTTTACCCGATGTAGAGGGGAATTTAACCTCAAACTGGATTAATTCCTATATAAATATATGGCGGAGAGAGCACCATATATTTATATAGGAATTAATCCAGTTTGAGGTTAAATTCCCCTCTACATCGGGTAAACTGCTATTTTACAACATGTCAAGGTGACAGATTCTCCATTTTATTGCGGAGTGTATTACTTGATCCGTCCGTTACAATATTAACATGTAACCTAACATTAACGGTAATGCCAGGAATCTAACATTATATTATTAATGTGATTTTTTATCAATCAACATTAATAATGCTAAAAAATCACATTAATAATATAATGTTAGATTTCTGGCATTACCGTTAATGTTAGGTTACATGTTAATATTGTAACGGACGGATCAAGTAATAGCTGTTACAATTGTAATAACATTACAGGAAATTTTTGTTAACGTAATGCTTACTACCTATTACATTTTTAATGCCGGTAAATCTGTAAATATGACACAAGTCAAATGAGTCCAAACTTTTAATGGGTACCCGGGTGAACGCGATACGCTTTGATGAAAGCCTACAGTCGTTCGATGAGGCTTTCGTAATTTTTATATACATTTTAAATACTGAACGCCTAGGCTTTCATTGCTATTCTCACTTCTTTCGTGCATTCGTAGCATTGAAATCCTTGGCGTTCAGTTGTACGTGTGTATTTTTCACGCCACGAAGTATGTTTCACGCTAGGCTTTCAATGCTACGAATGCACGAAAGAAGTGAGAATAGCAATGAAAGCCTAGGCATTCAGTATTTAAAATGTATATAAAAATTATGAAAGCCTCATCGAACGACTGTTGGCTTTCATCAAAGCGTGTCGCGTTCACCCGGGTAGTGTATATCAAACCACCCCATTGGAAGCCATTTTACCGGTTTAGTTGTTTACACTTTTTCTATCGATCGATTATTGATTATATTTGATGCGAAAAAAATTCGGAATTAAATATGTGATTCGAACAGGTCACGAATACATTTTACAAATTTTAAAGAGTAAAACGGGTTTTCTGTGTGGTTTAATGTCAATCCTTTTATGTTTCTTCCACGAAAACTAGAATATTGTGTGAAATACTGAATTGAAATGGGTAAAAATGATAATGTTGAATTGCTGTTCGAAGAAAATGTATTGAAATCAACGAACACTGAAGGAAAAAAACCCTCGAATTCACGGGAAATAGAATATTTTTATTTTGTGTTGTTTTTTTTCTTAGTAACAAAATCAACTATTAAGAATAAACAGGGATCAAACTAAGTCAACAAGTCTAAATAAATTAGATATTTGAATGAATCTTTGAACGAATAGTAGAAATATATAAAATATCTTTAGTTTTTATCACCAGATTTCTGGTCACTATGCTAATATTTGTTTAGCCAAACGGTCAACCATTTCTTAGTCGACCGAGTACGGTTTTGAGAGACCAATTAATTGATATTATTTGCTTTGTATGAACTATCTTGACTTATAGCTTGCCGAAACTGAACACCCTTTGGCTAACATTTGTTGAAATTTATGTCAGTTTAATAATTGCACAAATGACAAGTGTCTTCTCCACTTTGGCAATGGTTGACAACCAATTTGATTGTGATTGAGTCGAATTCATCGAAAAAAATATCAATTTATTCATTTTGACCCCAGGTCAAATCTATTTGCTACAATGAATAGCCATTCAAATATCTAAACAGATGAAGCAATTCCATGCTCATATCATCCAAAACCGAAATTAATATGTGTATATTTGCCTTGGATGTCATTAAAAAATCGGCGAGATATTTCACAGATTCAGCTTGTTTGCCTATAAATTTGTGTATAATGTTCATTGTTTATGATTAATTTACAAATTGTGACTAAGATTTGATACTGTATGTGATGAGCAATGAAAGAGTCACATACCAGCATTCATGCATGATTTAAATGTTTATATATTACTCGACTCAACATTAACTTATCACAGTTGGCTCTTCTCACACTGGAGTTGATGTAAAAATGGATTTTACTACAAGTTGCTATTAACTAAGAAATTATCACGACATCGCGTATTTAAACGCCTCTCTCTCAATCAAAAGCAAATTGATATAGCCATCAATTATAAACGTTTATTAAGCTGATAAGAGCTTATTTCCTCTTTTATCTCTTTCTTTATCGTCAGAATAAACACTTTTGTTTAATGGTTTCAGATTTGAAAATGAACTAAGGGCGGTACTTGAGCCTTAGTTTTGTCAAACAAATCAAATTAGTTGTTTGAATTATTGCATTCGATTCGATCTCCGGTAAATGCGGGCGTGTTACATTTCATAAGAACAACAGTTCTTCGAATATTTGCAAAAATTTTAAGCACATGATGGATATTTGATTCTAGATTTAACTCGATATTTTAAGTCATCATTGAATCATTCAAGTATGAACGTGTGAATTTTATTGCATGAGTAATGACTGTATAGTACTGAAAATATTCAAGTATAGAATTCATTCTGTCCCTGTGTTTATTTCCATAGAAGATAACATAACATGAAAATGACTTTTGAATAGTTTCCCAAATATTTTGCGCACACTGTTCATGCAGGATATATTATTAGCTGAATTGAAATTGAAAAATGCAGAATTCACAGTTTTAAGATTGTGTTCGCCACTTTTAGTAGGCTTTGGAACACATTTTCCAATAAAAAACTTAACACAGTGCAACAATTGAAAAAAAAGTCAGACAACCGGGACTTGGCATATCAGAGGTGTTAGTACTACCATAGGTGAGCAAAACCCTAGCTGGGTTTTGAAAGTTTAGTAGCGGTTTTTATTTTATCGACCTAGGAAGTTTTTGGGATGCAGAGGATTTTCCAGAGTTGACTTCTTCAGTTTTTGGTCAATAACTCATCTAGTATTGATGACAACATCTTACTGTCTTGAGCAAAGTTGTAGTTGAACTTCCCGGCTAATATCGGTGTCTTGGGTTCACCATTGTCCATAACAGTGCGTCCAACATGATTAAGCACAGTCTTATATCATTTAGAGTTGCCGATGGCCATCAAAATGGTTTTAAGCAATTTAATACAATTTAGTACATTTTTAGTACTATTTTAGTACTTTTAGTACTTAACATGCAAAGATCTTAAGCAATACTAAAAAGTTGCTTCAGACACCATTGCTCTATTTCGATCAGTTGAGGAGTTATAGGACTTCAAAAAATGCCCAAAAGTGTTGTTTGGTAGCCAAAATTGATTTTTGGCCAGTAAATTGGACTGGATGTGTTTTTTTAAAAGTTGATATGTCCTAGAGAGTTGTTTGATTTTCCTTTGGCTATAATTTTGTCGAAGAAACTAAGTGAAAAGCATGTATACTGCGCGAGGTATGGTCGAAAAACTGAAAAAATCTAACTTTTTCCGGACATTTGGTCCCCTAGCACCCACCAAATGTGATTTTTTTTGGTATAGTTTGTTCAAAAAACTTGTTCATTGGACCTTTAACTACAACTTTGCTCAAGACAGTAAGATGTTGTCACCAATACTAGATGAGTTATTGACCAAAAACCGAAGAAGTCAACTCTGGAAAATCCTCTGAATCCCAAAAACTGCCTAGGTCGATAAAATAAAAACCGGTACTAAACTTTCAAAACCCAGCTAGGGTTTTGTTCACCTATGGTAGAACTAACACCTCTGATATGCCAAGTCCCGGTTGTCTGACATGTGTTGCACTGTGTAATTGCAACTATTGTTTTCTTGATTTAATGCAGTTTTAGCTTCTAGTTCCAGATCTAGAATAGTACTAACTATCTGAAGACTAAAACAACTGACTTCATTCCATACGCATCATCAACCCTGAATAACGTGTGTTTGATACTTTGCCAAAGGGTTAGACACGAATTCATACTCGACAAACACTCGCCGATACTAGAATCTACTCAGTGCTACTCGGTGCCATTTGGTTCAGTGTAATGTGTATACTGTCGAAGAACTGTCAACGTCTACTGAGTGTTTTGAGTAGTTTCGAGTTTACATTTAAAAGACATAGATGTACTCAGGACTACTCGGTGTAAAATGAGACAAATTCGTCAAAACTTGTACGCTAAAAAACTGCGTCTACCCCCTTGTACTTTGCCCATTGAATAACCAAAATTACTTTTAAGTGAAAGAAATTCAATTTGTTTGTTATCATATTTGCGTAGATTATTCATACTACGATTAATGCTTATGCTTCATAGCATATGGGGAAAATGTCTATGTAACTTATGATTCTTACGATGACAAATGTAAACAATTGTGAATCACTGGAATGAGTTAAATGAACTGATATATGGGAATTTCTATCAATTTAATATGATGCATTTGCGTACGCATTTTCTCTTTTAGAAATCATACGGTCGAACGTCTTGACCCATTGACAAGTAATTGATTTTTTTCTTATGATATTGGCAATATTCACTTCGTTCGTACGTACGAACGAACGAACGAACGAACGTTTAAAACGTATCTTACAAAATCAATTTAATAGTTAAGCATATTGTTTATATTAGCGCCAATGTTGCCGTCAACGTAATGTAAATTAGCCTTTAAATTTCGTTCCCCTTCATGCTTCTTCTTTTCACATATTTTTAGAGACTAGACAGGCAATGGCCGTTTCAGAATTAAAATGTAAATTTTATCTTTATTTTATTACGTTGAATTCCAGCCATGTATCAATCTCAAGAATATGGTAATTGAAAATGAAACATAGTGTACGATTAAGATAACGTTATCAAAATGAATATGAAAAAATGCTACCGAATCAAGTTTTCGAAGCAAACTCGTTTTCGTTTAGTGATTTGAAGCACCCGAGGCAAAGCACATGAGCCACCTTTTATTATATCTTATTGAGTTTTCTGCCATTCGTTAGAATAATGCCGGCAAGTCTTTGACCTGTAATAAATGAATGTAGCATTTGCATGCGTACAATGAGCCATTCATTCATTAAACTATTGCTAGACGTGAAGTGTTTAAAAATCTATTATCAATGTCGTAACTGGTCATTTAATTCGAACTCAAATTACGAGAGTAGCTTAAATAGCTACTTATATTGCTATCAATGACACTTTTTCGCGTCCATATTTTTCTTCTCTCAAAGTAATGACTGCATTCAACCAACAGAATGTTTGGAAATGTGAATCAATATATGAAAATAATATTAATATTTGAATGCGATTGTTCTGGTTTCTTTTTGTTTCCTCACGCATTGTCAACGATTTCAATGGAATAAATATTCAAATTATTGAATTCATGGTGTCGATTTCTTTTTATTATTTCTTCATTATCTTTGGCGTTTAATTTACACGATGAAAATATGCTTAATTCCCTCATCATATTTAAATATTTTTGATGCAAATCAATTTGTGGCTTTATTTTGCAAATTGATCTGATTTTACAAAAAAAAAGTTTGGTTTGATATTCAATCATGTATTCACATTCATTATCTCAATGTATTCAATTAATCGTCTATTTATCTAGAATTAGATCAATCTGTTTTCCGAAATTCGGAATCCGAATAAGATGGAGCCTATATTATTTTGTTTAAATTTTTAGATTTGTAGTCATTCTTTTATATTTCCTATCAATGTTGATCACAACAATTGTAAATATCACAACATCGGCCTGGGAGTTCCCGATAAATTGATTTGAATATTTCATTATTGTAGCTTCTGATCGTAATTGATTCTTATGCATCATGTAGATCGAGAACGGAGAATACAAGCCATATTGATTTGATTAACTTCAACTCACGGCTATTTTTGTTACGTTTCTTCTTTGGCACATACCTCAAACTACGTAATGATTACGTGTTTTTATTATTCGAGAAACAATTGTATTACTCAGAATATCTGGTTATTTGCATGCGTGATTGGAAATGTTATTGACGTTCAAGAAATTCTACGCTACTTACTGTTGACGGTGTTTTATCCTGTATTAAATTAATTGATGACGTGGGCGTAGGAATTGTTGTCATCGAATTGCTCAATTGAAAGAATGAAAAAAGTGCGTTTTTTGAAGACATAATGTGAATTGACTTCTGGTAAAAAATCAGAACAACTGATTTTCTCACCAGCTATATTTTTATTCCGATTAGTACGTACATTTTCTTCAATTCAGAGTAATTAAAAGCAGTTTTGCTAACAGTTTGGTTACATTTTTTTTTTCTTCGACAAACAGTAAATAATGATTCGAATCAAGTTTACTTGATAAAGCTACATTTTCATTTGTAAGTTGTAGATAAATTTGACATCAAATGGAAATTGTACGGATATAAACATAAAGAGATTGCTTTACTTATTCAAAGTGCAAGGCATTTGCACAGTCTTGATGTACCATTATGGTATGAATGGGTATTTATAAATTTCGTCAGTTGGTTTCTGCATAAGAATGGGCAGTCTTATTCTTCCTTCTTTAATTTGCATGATGGCTCCGGTTCATCCTCGACGGCATTGTCTGAAAATAAATAGTGAAATGTGATCAATCAAACGAAATTCCATTTTCTCAATTCACTATTGAAACATAAACATTCAAACCTAAAATGTAAACACTTTTGAATCATGACCAAGAAGAATCAAACAAAAGGTCATTCAGGACAAAATGTCACTAAAAAATACAATTAAGCCAATCGGCCATGAAAAACCACAAAACACAATGAAACAATTGAAACTGCAACAAAATGTCCAAAAATACCTTTCTTTGACACTTCATTGGATTTCTTCAGAACATTCGGTAGTTGCGGTGGTGGGTTGGCTGTTGAAAAATTAATTTGAAGATTAAATCTTATGCAAAATACTCCTCAGGTGAGCTCCCTGAAATAATACGTACCGAAAGTATTGGTGTATTGTCGGAACTTTCGTTTGCGCTGTTTGGTCGATTGTACACTTGCCATCGATTGGGTTGGTTCGTCATCGTCTTCAGTCAAGTCAATGAATTCGCTCAATTTTGGTTTTTTCGTGGAGATTTGGGAGTTTGGAACCTCATCTGAATATCGGAGAGAATTGCTCTTTGATTATGAATTTCATCGGAACGATTTTGATTTCAAAATTCTTACCATGTTCAACAGTTTCAACAGGTTCGCAAATGTCATTCAAATCAGTCTTATTTTCTTGTATCGGTTCGTTGGCTGGGACAGTCCCTTGTGATCCGATGACTATATCTTCTTTATCTAAAAATATTAACGCACATGTACGACACTATAATTTATGCTTGAAACTAGTATGACAATTTTCCCCAGAAAAATCAAAAATCGATTGAAAAATGCATGAAAATTCAAAAGACAATTGACGAAATTCAGTATTCAATTCTATTATCACAAAAGAGTCAATCGATTACCAGCATTCATCGGATCATCGCTTCCATCGTCGTCATTGTCGCTACCATCGTGGCCCGTAGTTTTCGGTTCATCTTGTTGATGAAAATCAACTTTTGGTTCATCCTCCTTTGACTTTTGCGAATTGTTGCCATCTGGAAATACAAGAAGAAGTTCAGAAGTTATATCTGAAGCATTCCAGAACATTATTTGCTTTCAATTTGTTAATTTTACCATGACGCATAATATAATCATCTTCAAATACGTCGCCATTTTTGCGCTGTTGGTTATCCGCTGCGTCGCTCTCTTCAATTTCGTCATTTGGACGATTTGAATGTGTCGGTGCCTCTTGATCAACCTGTCGCACAATCGGGTTATGCGGCATTATCCATGAATTATTCGCACAACCTGAAAAGAAAAATCCAATAATGTTCCATCAATAAGAAGAAAATATGCCCAAAACAGAACAATTTTTATTTCATTTTTACCATTCAACTGAGCTTCTGGAACCATAGACTCGGGTAAACTCACTTGCGTAGGTTGTTTCTGTGATAGGTTCTGGTTTGAATTACCAGAAATAGAGTTTTTGGACGGCGATGTGACCATATTATGGGCGGGTTGTTCCAACAAGTCTTGAAATTAAAGCACAAAGTGAAATAAATTATCCGATTAAAGCACAATAAAATTAATATAATCACTCGATCGGGCATACTTTGATGTTCGGTTTGTGAGTTGTGCGAGTCGATCGTTGTGTTGTTGTTTATTTCCTTTTCGATATCACAGTCATTTGTTCCAGCAAACGACACAATCGATGCGTTTGTTCCCGCCATATCGGCTGAACTGTCATTCTCTGGAATGAAGGAAAAATGAGAGTCATTGAGTGTAGAGAAAACCAAATGTTGAGTGTTTCACTCAACGTTGAGTCATCGCATGAATTTGTCTCGGAGAGAAATGAAAACATAGATGAGATGCCAACTTTGCGCAAGAAAAAACGATCGAAATACCTTGAGATTTAATGACTTTGGGCACAATCATCGGGTTTTCGTCGGTGCAATCAGCGGATGGTTCCTCGGCTGCATGTATTTCTGCATTCACAATGAGTTGTGGATGAATGTCGTCATCATCATCATCGGAAGCATCATCTGAGGAATCATCGACTACCGAATCCATTGTTAATACGCCGGATTTAATACAACAAACAAAAACAATAACAAAACCATCGCCAAAACTTACTGATAATCGGATCGTGTTCAACAGCTTCAAGCGGTTCAATTTTGACAATTGACCGATTTAGCAAATATTGGTGCAAATCTGGTTCGGAATCTGATGGAAAGAATCGCATTTAATAATCACAGATACTCACAATTTTACGATTTTTTTTGTCGTTCATTCAAACTTGCCTGTTTGGAGTGATTGCGCTCGGTCAGCTTGATTTGCTTCAATCGGATATATTGCAATGGTTACGCCGCCATTGTCGCCATTGTCCCATTCTCGAATAATTGTTTCGCACGTCTGTTGAACCAAACCCAACGTCTCGTCGGGCAATTTTTTGATCAAATCGAAAATCACTTTTTCCTCGTTTGCTCGCGGTGTATCCTGATTCGGGCTCAGCAATTTCGTGGCAATACTTTCATTGGGATGTTTTGTGTGTACACCGTGGAACGATGACACGAGAATCAGTTTTTTCGCTTTATCAAAACGAAATGTGATGCGGCCATGACAGTTCACTTCATTTCCATCGCCGCTGTTGCTCTTGCGGTGTGCGCAAACCAGTGCTTGTTTTTTGTACTCGAATCTGGCAATTGTGGCTGCGTCGAGCGTTTCACCTTTGAAAGTGCCTGGCTTGAGTTTTTCACCTTTCTTCTTGAATTGCAATGGGATCCCGTTCAAAGCACTTTGTCGACAATATTCTTTCAATGCCGCTTCAAAGTCCGCATATGATGCAAATTCAGCACCCTCATAAATCAAATTCGACATTTTGCTCGCGAATTTCCACTGAACTTATATTTCGATTCGATTTTTGTCACTAACAATACGTTCACGCTAACAATTCCCTTTTTATGCGTAATTATGGCGCACCATTTACCAAATTCACATGGTGCCTTCACTTTGATATGCTGATTCACTCACAACCCGAAAACAACTGATGACTGTTTTGCGCTGTGCGAATTTCACAACGACATTATTCGATTCATTAGGGTTCGTTCTTTTGTTCTAAATGGTTTTTTCTGGTTGAAGCAATTTGATCTGAATCAAAACGTTATTAGGCTTGATTTTATGGTCGATATGATTTTCGTATAAGAATCTCTTACACAAGATTATATTTCAATAGACGATTTAAAAGATACACAAATTGAATAAGTAAATAATTGAAATGAGAAAGTTATACAGATCGATCTCAAAATTTTCATTGGCTATCACTTTACCTTACGCTTATGACTCAAGTCCGTCATGAATATATGCGCTGAAATGAATCATGACCATAATAAGAAACTATTTTCGCGAATGATTCAATTCGAAAATTGTTGTTCTAAGAATGATATTTTTTTCAAGTTTCTGAGACAGCGAAAATCAATTATCCCAAAAAGTCATCAATGACTATTTTAATTGATGCTAAACATCAGTGGATGGCGGAAAAATACCCGAAATCGGAATTATTCAGCTAAGATGTTTCATGATGGAGACATTTTTTGAACAGAAATTTACACAGTCCCAATGTTGAGTTATTTTATCCATCGTTTCTTCATGAATAAAAGTGATCCTTATGGTGATGCTCAAGTTAAGGATAGTGCTTAAAAATAGAGCAAATGAGTTTCAGCGAGATTGATCGAATATACGCAGAATTGGAAGCAATGCAGGAGCAAAATTTGTAATGTGTCGCAATATATGTGTCATAAATTACATTTCATATTACATCATTTATAAAATAACACTGTTATTTGTTTGAGAAAATAATGGTTTGCTGAAAAAATAAATACAAACTTTCAAAAATATGCGCTAAACTCTTTTTAATTGAACTATTTGTTGGACTTATGCGAGCGTGGCGACACCTAAAGTCATTGAAAACGCATTGATATGGATTGCAGATACGTGACAAAATAGAATGGCATTGATTTGGGCTCTAGTACATTTACTTTCCCTTTCTTTCGTTCGAATGGTCAAGCGTTTGTATTTGAACGTTCTATGTCGCCGTTGCTATGCACACGCACAGCACACACTATTACATCACCTGTTGCGAGTGTGTGTAGCACTGAAAGAACAATATTAATCTCGAGCGTTCCAATGTAGTTGGATTTTATTTCGAATCATTTGCTTGTTAAACACACTTCACATCATTTTCATTGACACTGTCGGCTCCGTTGAATTTTAACATAAAATTCGTTTGTGTCGTTTTGCATTGAAATATTTCCTCATTT